ATGTGCAAGGTACAAACGGCGTCCTAAGCTGTTTTATCTGGAAAACCTGTTCAGTGAAAGGCGTAAAGTTCAACTAAAACGTTAAAATTACTGAAGTTCAACATGTGAATACTTTCGGATGACAAAATTTTGTCTCACACTGCAGACTTCAAACAGTTTATTATTTGTTTAACTGATGAATATGATCGTGCCTCTAATACCGCCAGACCTGTGTTCATTATGACTTGTAAGGAAGATTAATTAATTGACCACCGTTGATTGTCGACTTATAAAATGGTGGATTCGGTTTTTTTGAGAAGCATGAGAACTGCTTTCCTGTCCATTGCATGGAACATTTAGTCAGATGCTACGGAGTCAGGTGGCGAGTTGGTCGTTTAAATCCAACTCGCTTAAATTATTTGGTACTTCCGGTAGTGTTAAAACAAACTGGCTAATGATGAGATTTCCTTATGTATGATAGAAAACGTCCTGATGGCGATCGCATTTTAAGTTTTGCTGCTAGACAGTACTTGTAACTGTGATCGACTCATTAAATTCATACATGAACAGATATAACGTACCGACGTTACTCTGTCGGTATAATGCATTGCTGATGGACAAAATCAAATGCTGGAACGCATGTGAATGCTTTTCGTCAATGGCTAGCAGGGTGAACCAGATTTATGATATCTGTCCTTTAGAAATGGTATCTTGAATTATTGTTAAAAACAGAAACATCCGAGCAAACTGTCCTCGACAGACAGATTGTAATTTCTTTGTGAAAGTATGGATAGTCCAATTTAACGCGGACATCTAATTTTTAAGATCGTTTGTTAAATCAATAGAGTTTACTGCTTAAAGGATAGTAATAGCATGTAAAACTAGCTGAGACTAACATTTCAGTAATCATTGATCCACTGGTATAACAATAAACATTTAATGCACAGATAAGCATGATGTTTAATAATAAGATAATAAGTGGGAAATGATAAAGTGGAGAGAAATTTGGTGAATAGAAATTTAATGCAGATGAATATCTAATGTCTATGAGAGGATCAAATTGAGCAGATTCCGCCTTTCCGCTTCCTCATTCTGTGGAGTGCTAGTCATTTACTGAATCACTTATCTTTTGTATGCTTCTGTCTTCATGTAGATGCAGACATATTGGGGCCATGTGAAATAACACCTTGAAGTGCGTTTTGAACGAGCCTGTTGCAAAGGCGAAAGGATAGGTTAGAGTAGATTTATCAAGCTTTCCGATACAAATTATTTACGTGAAGCACTAACATTTGTCGACTTTGGCGCCGACAGGTAAATTGCTTGTTTTGAGATTGATTTTAAACGAAAAGGCAATCAGGTTTTACTCAAGAATTTTAAAATTACTGCGAGACTTGGAAATGCTTGGAGCTTCGAAAAAACCAATAACGTAGTCAAAAATGGCATCAATCGAACTTGATGGGTAATTTGCTCTTTCCATCCTTCTGTGTGGAAGCGAATTTTTGATTCGCAATGTGAGTAAAGCCTTAAACTTAAAGTATCTCAAGATCGTACCAGTATGAAGGTGTCATAAGTTGTATTCAAGTATTTTCTAATCGTTGAAGCGAACATTTACCACAGCCTACTCCTGAAATATTGTCTGATGAAATCCGATGCGACATGCTGTGAGCAGCTGTGCAGACGATCGGCTGTTTGCGCAAATATGCATATGATATCTGATTTCAGATAGTTATTAGCATTGTCACATATCCTTCTAAAGGCATTTTCCTTCATTATAATCTTCTATTTTTTTTCTCTTCACCTTTCCTCGAGAGCAGACAACCGTTTAACAGTGCCCCATCAGTGCACAATTAGTATGTAGTGCTAGAGGAAAGTCAATGTGTTTCTGCCAAAATAATGTCTAGAGTGATTGACTACATATTGTAATAGTTCTGTTTGAATTTGCAGTTTATTGCTTTGCTGAATTAATTTTCTAATTCTTTTTTCCTGCAGGTGGCCAAGTCGATCCAGCGTCACTGTACTTTTCCTTCCATGCAAAGCCTTTGAAGTTCCAATTTTTGGCTGTTAGTTTTTGTATGTTATTTGTTGTGTCGTACATATTTGGACCTTAACTTAATTTGTATGTTGCTTTAAATCTTTTTATTTCCAGTTTTAATTTGCCAACGACTGCCGTTTCACAGATACACCCCTTTATGATTGACTGTTTATTTGTTCTTTTGTAATGTTTAGTTGAATACATTTTTCAAAGGTACTTTTTTACTTCAGTCATACATTCGGAATATGTCTATGGTTTACTCGAGTGGGGTCGAGTGCATTGTGATCTGAGTTATATTCGATGATGTTAAAAACCGCTCACGTGTTATTGTAATAGCTACTGTCATCGGCCATATTCAGGGAATGATTCTTTAATGATAATTGATGCCAAAACAGTTGAATTAGTTATATGCACTTTTTCTTATTTTTGGTGCTGTTAACTGTGAAATCAAAAAATGTCTCTGCTTGAAACTTTTTGCCCAAGCAGCGGGTCTGCAATATCAATGCATCTACGTAGTGACATTTTTACGCACGATGGCATCAGCAACGCCGTGGTGGCCTTCGCCGAAATTTTTTACGATATGACCCATTAGCTACATGACGTTCTGTCTAGCTCTTCTAATGAATGTGAAGGCAACGGGCCACACGTCAATTCCATGTCCACTGACACTGAAATTTTGGAATCTCAGCTGTGCCTCGTCCAAAGGAATCCTAAAGGCACCTTCATTTTTATCCGGTCGAACTAATATTAATGATGCGTCTTTTGTGGTTTACGCTATCGTTTTATTTCGTTCTTCACTCTCTCTAAACTTGCTTCAAGGACAATAATTTAAGTCTACCGTACAAAAGACCTTGGCTTTACTATCTACTTCAAGTCATCAACGCCAGGCCATTTGTATGAGTTTATAACGCCGAGAAGTCAGGTTCTGCCGGGATTATTCGTTATTTGACATACTCGGACGTGCGAGCAGCTTATGATGTTTATTTCTCAGCGTGCTTCAGAGCAGAAATTAGATAACTGTGTGAAAACAAGCTTTGTTTATGTCACTTTTGTGTATGAGTCTACACTCTGCGCCACTGACTGCAATGATGAACTTACGTGCGTAGGACCTAGACAGATTAGCATGACAGACTTTTCCCCTGAAATACTACTAGGCGATTGCAAGTTTGCATTAAGGGTGTCATTCCACGTTCGGTGCCCCTGGCTAGCGACGGATTCCTCCACTGGGTTTCGTGTAAAGAATCGGATGAACCAGCAATGTTTTGCTTTTGCTCGTTGCTCTGCCAAACCACGGGATCCGTTGCCTTTGCAACACGTACGTGACATCTTGTAACTTACACTGCGGCGAGTAAAGGCTAAAGGTTGATTTCGTACATTAATGACCATATTTCTTGCTTCAATCCAGGTAATAAAGCATTCTTGTGTAAAACGAAGTTCGCAATTAAAGCATAAGTGAAAGTCATTGAAACGATTGATCGCAACTTTGAGCAAACGCGAATGCTGAAAAAGTCGATTTGACACTTCATGTACCGCATTGATTTTCAATATAGCGTAACAAAAAATACTTGTTCAGCGTTGACAACTTTGCGAGATGAATACAACACATGTACAATTAATTCCTCACTTCTGAGTACCTGTTTCACGTTCGCCTTTCGCAATTACTTAGCAAATCGACAATGTATCAAGCTTACAGCAGAGGTGGTGGTCCTTCGACGGATGAGAGAAGTGAAGCAATACGCCCTTCAGCTTCGGTCACTACTAAGGACGATCGTTGCTTATCTGCGTATTTTTTCGACAGCTTTGACCAAGCGGAACGCAACAGTCTGGCAGCCAGCATAGGGGTACTCTTCGCAGCGAAGCCAACCTTATTTGTCAGCGCCATGATCAAGTACGAGACACTTTCGAATTTCATGTACCTACTGCCGGAATACATGAATATGATACCTGTTTTACTTTACATTAATAACTATTTGCATAACACATTGAAAACTATTTATATAACCTTGGAAACCGTTTATTATTTAGGATGTTCCAGATATATCCACGTTTCAAGACTTTATTTCCAAAAATGCGCCACTTAACCGATGTGGATGTCATCAGCTCTCCAGCTCTGTTCCAGCAAGCGGCCATTCTGCATGAAACTACGTCGGTTTTAGTGCAGAACTTGAAAGACGGTCGTCAGTCATGCAATATCCTGGAGCATATTCGATGCTGTCATCACAAATACTTCATAAAATCTACACATATTATGGTGATAGGCTATTTTGATATGCAAATTAAGTTGTTTAGAAGAAACTGCCCTTTTAGACTTTTTTCGAAGTGCTAATGCTGGTGCTGAATGAACATCAGGCGAAAACGTTGGACGAAAACGTGTTTAGTACCTGGCGAAAGTTCTTTCGCGTCTTAGCACGTTGTACGGCTGTTTACACGGCTGGCGAAGATGCTGACGTATAAGAGACTAGTGACGTTGTCGAATATCCCGCTTGCGGTTTTCCTTCTTAATTTTAAGGAAATTGGGTTTTTTCAGAAACGCGTTCAAGCCTTTCGTGGATTACTCGCTGCTGTCGAATATGAACTTTCAAAAGTACAGATGTACTTAAACCTTTGCTTAAGATACTTAGCGCAGTTCTCGTACTCTTACCGATGCCACAGACAGATAAACAATCAGTCATGCAATTTCTGACAGTCTGTCCCTTTGGGTGGCGAAGACAGACGCTTCAAACAGTGCTCCCGATCCTGTGCCAGGTTCTGAGCTTCAGGTGAAAATAACCGGAGTTTTGATCACAGTCCTTCGAAACACTTACCCCAGGGCATTCTTGAGATCCCCTGGGTTTCCGGCCGGTCGGTTACACAGATACTAACTGTTTTGCCTTCCTTTCTGGACGCATTCGATGGACATATCCAAACAATTACAGCTGCTACTTCTCATTCCGAAGAATCAGCGGTTGTACACCAAGATCTCTCGCGCTCATTTGTCTTCCAGACCATGTAGAGACGCGTAATGCCAGCGATTCGTCTCAGTAAGCCCGTTTCTGCCGCCTGTAACTGGAAGCTAAATTTTTCAGTAATGACTCACTAGTCATGGCCTTGCGTAAGCATTTAGATGAAGATGAAGTTGAATGCAAAGAGCTTATGCTTCAGACTCAGCTCTGCTTTATTTACAGTGGTTCAGGCTAGTTCACTCTGAACGCCACTGGCTACTCTAATCCTGCGTTCGATCTATTCCTTGAATTTTCCACCACAGGAAACACGACCGAGGCATTTCAACTTTTGCACCTGCTCACTGCCTCTTCCTTTATCTACAGAGGTTGCTGGCAGTAGAACCAGAAAGCGTGATGATTTTTTTCCCAAGATAAGCTCACACTCACGCCGGCCATGTTACACTCGACACCAACCTTATCGGATAGTGCTGGAGGTCAGTTTTGAAAGATACCAACAGAGCGTTGTCTGCAGAGAGGTACCTCCTAGTCTGTACATTTTCCACGCGAAAGCATTTATCGCTTTGATTGCTCCTGACCATCCTACCCGTTCGCAGCACAAATGAAGGTAGAGGATTAAGAGCAGCTTTGGCAGAGACCCGTATCAAGGGTGAAAGGTTTCGATTAAAGTACATTCACTCAGACATCACCACATTCTATCAATATGCAATGACTGAATGGCTGGTAGCAACTGGCCATCGGTTCAATACGTTTGCAGGCAAACCTCCACGGTTCAGCAAAGCACCTGAAAACCGGATTAGTAAATCCCACGATTTCTTGGCAATGTGGCGTAAGGCGAGTAAGTTATCAGACTACTCGGCCACATCTGAATCCACACTACTATTCTTTTAACATAGAATCAGTCATTCCGCAGTACTGCCTTCTTAACACCATTGCGTATGCTTTTTCCAGGAGGCTAATGCCTTAATAATTGGAGCTCTCCCTATGGTCTTCATTTTGAACGGCGGGGCTTCAACTGCCGTCTCGTATTTACTGGTGTCTTCCCCATAGCCATTGCAGCTTGAAAATATGTAGGCCAACATATGCCTTGCCTACGTAATACTTTAAGCATTTCAGGGCATATTACATCGACTCCAGCAGCCTTGCCACTTTTTCGAGCATTCCTTAGCATATATGATTTAATCTACAGAAAAACTAATATCGATTATCAACTGCTCTTTATTCAAGTTTCTTGCGGTTGTATGAGGTGAAGGAGTTCCTTAAAGAATTCTCTCCATCGCCAAACTAGGCCCTGACAATTAGTAAGAGGACTCCAGACTTGTTTTTCAGGAATTTTAGACTGGCCTTTTATTATTTTGAAGGTTGTCTGCCACAACACGTTTCTGCCGTCTGGAAATTCGACTCCATCACCTCACTGAACGTTTCCCAAAAATCAGTATTCTTTTTGCCCACTGTTTTTGCCGCCGCCCTGCACACTTCTTTTCACCACACACTAGTTGAAGGCTTCTTGCCTCCAAGTCGACTCTTGAATGCAGCCGTCTTGTCGTTGACGGTCAGCTGAATTGTCGGTGTCTATTCGTAATGTTCGTTCCTCACCTCCGGTGGTAGGCAGATAGTTTTAAGATGCAGCATTCGGCGATAGCCCTGAGTAAGTGGTTCTGAGAGAGCTTCCACTCGATCTCTACGTCAACCATCATCGGTGGGACCCGTTCGATGTTGTCTGCAAGGCTTTTCCTCGTTTGCACGAAAGGTAGTGTTTCTTATTTGATTCTCTAGTTCTTCTGCCAGGTCTCATACTGTACTCTACAGTTTGAAGTGAAGGGTACAGAGCGATGACTGGTTGACAGCTCTGCGTCTCTCTTAACGCCAACTTTGATTACGTAGCGTCGAAAGTCAGAAGGTGCAATAATCATATCCATCATCGATTTCTTTGCACAGGCTTCCCCATAGCAGGTGTGCTCTGTATATTTCGATGGTTGAAGAAATCTTTTATAACGCACAATCTGTTGTTTCCACATAATCGTAACAACTTCGTGCTATCGCTAGGGCCGTTCTTTCCAGTTATGCCTGTCCACTTATGCTGTCCATTCTAAAACAAATTGAAATGGCCAAATAAAATAATGCATTCCATAATCTGCGCTTTCACCTTCCATTTCCTCTATGAATGACTCATATTTTCCTTTCAAATTGGGCGCAGAGACCTGTAGCAAGGTGAAAATTTTAGGTTCTCGCCATTTCAGTCAGATGGCTGTTATTCTTTCGCTGACAAGCCTCCCTTCAGTGAGTCTTTCAGCCAGGTTTGTTCTACTAGAACACCAGGACCGGTCTGTGTGGAGTCATGGAATCGACAACTTTATGAAATTGCTTTAAAGCCAGCGATTCAGAATTCATAGGCTCTGGTTCTTCGTTGATGACATTCCAATTGTATCGAGTCGATTCCTTGCTGCCATGTCAACTAGCTCCTGCTTTGTCCGTCTGAGTAAGGTAATTTTTCAATTTCTGACTGTTAACTCCCACTGTCGGTATCATTCCTGTACAGCCTTGTCTGACGTGCCATAAAAGCATCGGGCGGTTTGCCTACTCCGTTCAGAACAAATGGCTGCTCCGTTGCTGATTTGTATCTTCACCATCTTCTTGTCTATCTTCTGTAGCGATGGCTGTGCCGTTGCGTCCCCTGTTGCCACCGGTAAGCGTGAAGCAGGTCCTGAGAGTTGAGTTTCCGCTGTCCGCCTCCGTTTTCCACAGCATGAGCGGTCCTTGGTAACATGGACGATAACAGAGTCCTTATGTCATTCGATAACGGCAATACAATGAAGGGCAGAGGCTTTTGGCAGGTCTCGTTGCGTTGTCCACTCTTCTTCACTTTTCATCCGACTTCAGAACGGCAATGGTGGAGTTCAAACGGCAAAGAATGTGTATACATTTTACCTGAAAATGTTTATGCAGCTAACTCTTAAGATCATGCCAGGTCCTTCTTCAGAGCAACAGTACGTAAGGGACGGATAAAGTTTTTTTCCATGTGTGTGGATGAGCGCTCTTAGCCATTGCTAATGATGTCTCGTCTGCCATTAGTCCTAAGTACCTCTAATATTTGATTCATTTTTGCTGTGGTGTGAAATATATAGTCAAATTGTATACGACCATACGGTATATACACGATATGGATGCACGATTAGGTCATGCTTATCACTTCCATATTTATCCATGAGTTGAGAAATTGTTTAATTGGAGCATGCTGTAAAGTAAATGAATTTATTTGGCATTCTGCCTTCACAACTTTAAGATATGTCATTAGCCTTCCTGGCCAATAAATCATTTTGTGCGACGTCCATGTTCATTCGTCTGATGAGGTTTTTCCAATGTTCGGTATAACTTTCTAATTAAAGTTAAAACTCGCAGAGGTGAACACCGAAAACAAAAAACATGGTCAGGTGGTTGAACACTTATGTGAAACAGGACGGTTTTAACGGGGGTTCATAGAATAGAAGCCAATCAAAGATCGCAAAAATGCGAAAGCGGAATGCGAGAAAAAAATCAGCACTTCTGTAACGCGCTACAATTAACTGGCTGGTCATCGATATGTCCATAGCTAGTAATTGGCGACGCTTGATCGATCTGTGAGTTTCGTTTGTCAGCAATAAGCAGAAAACGTCATACTCTCGATATTCTCGTCGTTTAGTTGATCCTAGAGAAAAACCGTGGCATCAACTATGATTTTGGTCAAGAAGACATTTTTTGTACGTGATGGTTCAATTTCAATTTTTTCCGTTTATTATTATGGTTCTCGCTAAGCCGATATCCGCCTCCTCTAGTAAAGATGAGCACATAGCCAATAAGATCATACCGTACACCAATGTGAAGTACGCTGGGTTGCATATTCCTGAATCACCCGGGTAGCCATGAATCATCATCACCATTTATCGACTGCTGTACGAAAACCTCGTTAAGAATTTCGTTTTCGGCGTTTTCACCC